AAAAAGTAAAAAGAAACAGATGCAATTAAGTATTTTTAAACTAATATTTCAAAAGTATGCTCATTTCAACATCTAATCAGTATAGCGTTATTAATGAAGATATTTAACATGTTTTTAGACTAATCCTTGGGAACCTGGTATAAATTTCACATGGCACATCTCAGTTTGGACTTGCCACATTCAAGTGCTCAATAGCCACACATGGTTTTGGCTATTGGGCAGTACAACTCTAGAAAACAGTCATGAGCAAGGAAAATTGTTTAATTTAGTAGAAGTCCAGAAACTCCAAGGTTGGAAATATAGTATCTCAAGGGTCTGGAACAGACTTTAAAAATCAAAAGTCCTAATATCCATTTGATTGTTCGATCTTTTCTGTAGTAGATTGTTCAATCTACTACATCCTTATCAAGGGATCACCCAGACTAGTCCTTGACTAGAACTTTCAGGCATGACGAGCTCACTGCTTCCTGAAGCTGGCCAGTCCATTTGGGGACAATCTTAACGCAAAAAATTCCTTACTAAGAGCACAAGCAGGTTGGCTTGTGGCGGTCTGAGACGCTTAGTTGGGTTGTGCTAACCTTGAAGTGTTAGTTGGTTGGGCTAGGAAATATTGGGGGAATTAGAAACTTAAAAGTGGATGGGAAACTGAACAGTTTGGATAGGAACTGTGAGACGAAAGGCTGAGACTGGACATCTGGTTCAAATGCTCCGCTACACTGCAACAAGAGAAACAGGACGCCCCCTCCACACACACACACACACAACTCTGTAGATATGGTAACTTCGCTAATCTGGAGATAAATGGATTTGGAAAATAATTTAAAACATGACAAACTTAAAAAAGTTCATAAAGTAACACCTAATTGGTTTACAATTAGTGAAGGACATCACATGTACTAGACCTGTGTTATAAATAACATTTTTCCCTAAATCTTAAAGTACTTTATCAAAGGAATTTTCAGATGCAGAAGTCAAAGACACTTTCAGTCATTCTCTCTCTCGATTTTGTTTTAACCTTTTCTTCACACAAAAACACTCTGGAAATCAGAGACAGAAAACTTGTTTTAAAAAATTCAGTAAAAACGACACTGACTGCCTGAGTTATGATGAATTCTGACGGAGTGGCTCCTGTATTCCCCACCCCCCACCCCCCGTATTTGCATTTCTTCTGTTTCTTTCTTTCCTTCTTTTCCCCCGAGGTAGTGAGGTGCTCTTTTCCGGGACCCCTTCGCCCTCCCGCCTGCCCCAGGTCTACCTTTCCAAGGCAGGGGAAGGTGCATCCTCGCCTGAGCTCCTCCCGGCGCCTCCCTACCACCTCTGCCCAGCGGCCGGCGAAACGGCGCAGCCTGGACATCCATTAACGTTTATACTACATCTCTGGTTTCGCCAAAGCGTCCCCTGGTTGTTGACCATGGCCCCTCACTCCCCAGCCGCCTACACACTGGGAAACGCACTTGGGGGTAAAATTTTGGAACAGAAGCTCCGCCCACCCTCTTCCCTCCCACCTCCACAAAACCACTCAGTACCCCACTTCGGTCCGCCGAAGCGGGTCTCGTCACACGGTCTGGGGGTACCGTACTTTTCTGGAAAAAAAAAAAACAAGCATCCAAAAAAAATTCAAACTACACTCTTCGGCCAATGGGGAGGAAGCGGGCGGTGGGCGGAGGAAGCGCGCGGCGGGCGGGGCCGCGGGAGCAGTTACCGCCGGGGATTTGTAAAAAACGCGGCGGGCGCCGGGTTTGGGGCTTTTTTTTTTTTCCTCCAAAACCAGTTCAAGCGCGAGTCCCCGCCTTTAGCTGCAGCCGCTCGGATCCACCTTAAATCTTCAGTGGACTCAGCGCAGGGGTCAGTGGGCGCAGCCAATGCCAATCAAGTTTACAACCACCAGCACGAGAGGGGAAAAAAAAAAACGAGAGGAAAAAAACAATCTTCAAGTTCTCTAGTCCACACACACGCACAGTCACACGGGCGCACGCACACACTTACACAAGCACACAAAAGGAAGGAGGGGGGGGGGCAGGCGGGCGCGCGCGCGCGCGGGGGAGAGGAAATGTTTGCAAAACGCTGGCTGGAGGTTCGGTGCCCGTGGCTGGAGCGCTCGGGAAAAGCGCGCGGGAAGCGCGGCCCGGCCCGAACGCCATGATGGTGGCCGCGGTTTGGAGCCCATTTTCTGGCGGGGGAGCTGCACTGATGCAATCCCCCGGCCCCGGGCCTGGCTCCGTGCCTCCTCCCTGCTTTTTCTTCACGTTCCTGTCGAGGCGCCTCGACGTTTCGTGCCCAACACGCAGAGATTTCTTTTACTTTCCGATTCCTGCCTACTCTCTGCCCACGCGAGACCGGCCTGGTACGCGGTGGGGGAGACAGAGAGAGACGAATTTACGTGTTAACACTACACTTTCGGTTCTGCGGGGTCTGAGGTTGACCCCACCCCCCACCCCCACGCGAGCCCAGATCCCTGAGGTTCTTCCCCCCAGGGCAGTAGTTCTAGCACAACCCTGGTTCTTCCTCCCACCCCCACCTCCTCTTCGCTCCCAGGATTTTTACCTTCAATTTGCCCGGGAGGAAAGGGAGAAGGATTAGGGTGTGGCTCAGGTGAAAGAGATGGTAACTTATTTTTTTAAAAAATTAGTACTCTGGGAAACATCGGGAGATTCTAGACGAACTTTTAAAACACTCTTTTCAACGTAAAAAACTTAGGAAGAACAAGTGTCGACGCTAAGAATGATGAAATGGCGAAGACAGCGTTCCACGGCTGCCGGGAAAGGTCGCTCCGCGCGGCCGGGCGGTGGACGCACGGTGGCCACAAAGGCCGCCCCCGCCCTGCTCCCTTTTTGTTGATTTCCAGGGTCCCCTCCGTCCCCCAATCGTAACCCCTGGACCCACATTTTCCTAGTGCCTCCCTGGCTCACCCCCGCAATGGGCAGCTCGGGATGCGATTGGGGGGACCTCGCAAAGCGGGGAGAGGCGGGAAGCAACCCCCGCGAGCCGCAGTGGCGCTCGGCCCTGCTGCGCACCACTGAGGCCCTCCTTCCCTCCGGCGAGCCGGGAAGCCTTTCGAAATGCGCGGGGCTGCGGGTCATTGGAGCCCGGGGTGGGGTGGGAGCGGGCTGCTGCCCCGGAGGATCCACAAATTCTGAAACGTTCTCCGTTTCGCTCGTGTCCCCCCACCGCTCTGGAGTTGGCAGGGCACTGATGGGGAGCGTCTGTTTGTGGAGAGGAATGAGGGACTTTCGCTTCCTTCTTAGCCCAGAGGAGAGATGATGAGGGAGGCAAGTTTTTGAGAAACCGCCCAGCTCCGCTGAGCTAGCGGAGGCGCAGCCGACCCCCGCGGCCTGCGGGCACCCCGGCCGCGGGTACTGCGCGCAGCCACCCGGGCAGTGCGGGACCTAGGGAGCTGCAAGTTTCAAACCTGGAGCCAGACTTGGTCTTTCTGTCCCCGAGTGCCAGCCAGCCCGACACCGCAACTGCTGCAGCGGGCGAACGCGAGGCTGAAGTGTAGTTTGGAGAGACGGCGGCGCAGTGGCCAGGGTAGCCGGGCAGGGCGTGGCTGGCGCCGGTGGCCGAGTCCCCTCAGAGAGACGCTCGCAGCTGGCGACGCAGCCCTGGACCCCGGAGAGGACGCCCGGAAACGCGGGGACAAATTTGGAGACTTGACACAGAAGTGTAATGGATCCACTCGGCGACTTGGGGACAGCGTTCTTGTGAACGTGCCTAGCGCAGCGAGCATCCACTGCTTCCTGGCCCAGCACTCCTAAAACGCAATCTCTAAAAATTCACATTAAAGATACCCCTTTAGGAAAGAAAAAACGGGGTACAGGCAACAATTAAGGGGATTTTTTTCCTGTTGGAGGCACTTTTTAAACTACCCTTTTTGCTCAGAGAAACTTTAATTTCATTATTTCCTAACTCTCCCTGCACTCCTTCCTCCCCGTCCTGTTCTTTTTGCTTTCTCAATGTCTTCCTGAAAAACACTCTATGCGTCTTTTGAACAGAATCACAAAAACACCTTTCAGTCTCTAATTAAAATAATACCTGTTTGGAAAATGCAGCCTAGCCAGCAAAGGACCTACTTTTTACCTCTCCCCGGCAGTTGGAGAGAGTCAACCTTACTTTTTTTTTTAAAAAAGTCCACAACTTCGGGTCAAAAATTAGCTGAAAATACCTTGTTTAGAGCTCTTTTGGGGTGCAAGAATTTGAGGGAAACAGTTTAACTCAAATTCAGATCTTTGCGATTTAACCATTTTCAGTTTCCTAGAAAAAATATTTTACGTTTATGCATTAACCACACTTTTGAATGTGAAATTGCATGCATTATTTTAGTGACTTTCAAATCTTATTTTTCCCTTTACTTAACTAAAAAAATCTTTCTGCTATGTGAATATGGGGGCCCAACAACCCTTACTTTATGATTAGATTAACTAGTTTTTGGTTGTGCAAATTATTATTAACAGGAAATTGGGAAATTTAGGAATGTGTGATGACTAGTTTAATACCTGTTTTATCTAAATTAGTGTGGCATGCATATCAATTTCTTAAAAATCTATATATATTTTGCACGAGGTGTAGATGAAATGGTGTGAACAACTGCTCTAATTCTTCACACTCTGCATGTGTAAATAGAGAATTTAGAAAGTCACCAATGTTACTTTCATTTTCAATCCTGCAAATGTGTGATCAGTGTACACTTATGTAAGAATTTTTGGTTCTGACACACATTCATATCCTAGAAGACAAGAATATTTAACTAATGGAGATCTGACAAATCTTATTTATATGAAAATGTGGCTTTTCCACTTTATACTTCTAAAGCTTTGTCCACCCACACAGAACTAAGTGGAAAACAGTGACTGCTACATTAAGACCCACAGAAACATCTGAGTTGTGGGCCTGAATCATCTCAATTATTTACCACTTCACAGCCGATTTGTGTAAATATGACTAAAATGCCAGGTTGAATACCTCAAGTTTAGTAAAAGCACATTACATACAGTTCAACTCAATGAATAGCTATGGAAGTTTTCTTTATTGATTGTTTGATATGTAACAATAATTGGCATCCTTTTCACACATTACCAAAAATTATACTTGGCTCAGTATGCAACCTTTTAAGCACAGCCATATTATTTAAAGAAGGGGGAAAATCTACTCTACCCAATACAGCATTTACAAATGCACAAAACATGCCACTTTGGCTTGTATATTGTCTAGATTAAAAAAAAAATCTCTTTTTAACATAAATAAGTTAGTATAATTTTCAGTGTCTTTACAGAGTTATGTACACAGGTACACTTCAAATGGTTTTGTTGAATACACAGGCAATGTAAAAATACTGTTTAAAGATGTAGTATCCATTTCACTTATACCATACTGTCCTTTTTATACACATTTTCCTTTTAAAACACTGCTTTCCTTTGGGCAAATTAACAAATAGAGAATTTTTAAATTTAAAATTATTTCATTATTTTTTACGTGAAGTTACATACGGATCTTTTGGACTGTGTCTATACAGCCCAAAGCAAAAAGAAAATCGGAAATTTCCTCAATAAATCTAATAAAAATTAGATGGTCAATTCTGAGCATTCAGAACTCCCCCCATTTTTTTGCCCAGAATTATCTGCAGTGATAACCTCACTGATGAATAATTAACTGGTAAATTCCGATTTTAAGGGGGCCTAGAGGGGAGCAGTGAGAACGGTTTGTTGTTGTTTAAAGAAGAAAAAGCTATTTGTTGCTACATAATGGAATTATCAGAGCTCCCAAATGAGAAATAGCTTCCTGTAAAAATAAATAGGGATTATTTGTAGCCAGTGTTAAAATTTGAATGGTTTTTAAAATAAAGTATCAGTTTTCACTGAAAGGGACATTACATCTTTAAAGAAAACAATTCAAACCCTTTCCCTAAACTGCTTTCTCTTTATACAAGTCAAATATTTTTCTCCTTGCTCTAAATGGAGGCAAACTCTTCACATCCCCATGCCAATTCCTTAGCCCCACCCTCCCTTCCCGTCCCCAAAGTTTATGTGCTACATAAAAGGTAAAAACTATATACACAGGTAGTACAATGAAGCAAATAAGGAAAAACCTAATTGCCCAATGCTACATCCAATGCTTTTAGAGGCAGATCATTTAAGAACGCCTAAAATTTTAGTGTTATTGTGTTGTTCCTTTTCAGTGCTTATACAAGACGTCCAGCGATATGGAGTCAGTGATATGTATTTAAAATTTTTAATTCATATTTTCCTTGCTTCATCAAGCAGTGGGGTATCTGATACACAAGGAAACACATTCTCAATTCTGCAAGAGAAACAGAGGAAAGAATTAGGAGAAATGCACTAGAATATTACTGGTTAAAGTACAGTAATTATTTTGTCACTGTCTTAGTTGGGAAATACCTGAGTGATGGAAAAGAAAGTAGGTACTAAAGGCTGATGACAACAGTCATCTCTATCCAATGTTCCCTTCACTGGATTTTTACACTTCTCTGTGTTGTATACTTTCATCTACAGCACTGGGTCTCAACAGTGGGCAACCTTGTACCCCAGGGGACATTTGGCAATATTTAGAGACATTTTTGCTTAGCATACTAGGGGAAGGAGGTGCTAGTGGCATCTGTGGGAGAGGCCAAGGATGCTGCCAAACATACCATGCACAGGACAACCTCTCACAACAAAGAATTATTTGGCCCAAAATGTCAGTAGTGTAGAAGTTGAGAAATCCTGGTCTAGAGAATCAGGGTCAAAGATGGTGAGAAAGAACAGACAGGAAAATTAAGAAACTGATATCACTTAAGAGCAGCAAAGTTTTCTAAATTTGAAATACAATGTAGAATATAACTTATGGTTCTCCAAAAAGAAAATTCTGCTGACACTTTTTTTTTTCAAAATATTCTAGTTTATTAGTCATAAGAAGAATCTACACATGAATGCTTCTGCACAGGGCTTTACTACTATTTCTAGTATTCGGTGAACTGGTAATATTTACTAACAAATGCCTCTCTCACTGTCAGAATAAGACCAGGTCAACTGAGGAGTTAGGCCACAAGTCACAAACTAAAAATAGCTGCAGATGGTAAGGTTGTGTCAGAACAATTCTTCACTCAATTCTCCCACTTCATACACAGCTGTAATACAGAGGTGCTACACTGCTGCTTTGTATAAGGTCTAAAGAAGATCAGATGTACGTGAAGAAGTCACAGACGTGACGTTATGATGTAAAAATACAACACACTTGAATCCCACCTTAATCCTTGTGTTCCTTATTTTTTAATTTTATAAGTAAGAGTTTTAAAAGTTAGTATCACTTTAGTATCACTATCTATGGAGATGTCTTTACATTGTAGGCTGTGAGCCTGTAGAAAGGCGGGGGGGGGGGGGGGGTCACGGCCTTGTTCGGGGTAGAACTTACCCTGGCCAAGCCCTGATGTCTACTATCCATTTCCCCCACAAATATACAAGTCACCCTGTTGTAGCACGATTAGCATACACATGCTGACCTGTTTCTGGATTGCTGACTCTAGCAGTTAGTTTAACTTCTGCTTTGCGACTTCAGTGTTATTAGAACTTCTGAGGAACCTTAGGGTTTTGTTTGGTTGGTTGGTTTTTTGAGCTTTCTATTTTGTTGTTGTTGTTTTTTTAATATGCAGCTTCCTTCTCTGTCCCCCAAAGTTATCAGAAAACAAGGAAAATGAGAGTTTATGAAAATGAAAAAGATAAAGGAACACATCTCTTTTTGCATTTCTAACCATTTGATTAACAAAATACAAGCTAATTGCACCTAAAGTTTCCCACAAAATTTGAATGTAACCATTTATTTGCCATTTTTCCATGTATGGTCCAGAATATGCTGACTCAACTTGAACCTCTGGGAAATGAATTCTCATGAAGTGGGTCTGGGGCATACGCGGCGGTAGTGTTCAGAGGAGGAAAGAACCTATTGTTCCCAACATGTTTTGGTGGGACTCACAGGGAACTGACCTTCCTACCCACAGGGCCCTCCCTGGTTGGTTACACGTACTTGCCTGGGACACTTGCTCTAGTCATTTCATGTTCCAAGGGAAAATGACCTCAGGACATGGAAACTCTGAAGAAATACAGCACACTCACAGTGATTCCCAGCCTCCCCCTACTCTTCCTTTTTTGACTTCACAAAATATACACAAAAACCCACAAGCTGTAACCTGCCAGCAACCGCTAAGATCGGGTATCTTGGGGTCTGAAAGCTCACGAGTTCCTGCGGCCCAATTTGGGTGCCAGTTATTTGCTCCTGGTCATCAACCCACCGAGCAATTTACGTTTGACGTCTTCGGAGGCCCGGTTTCTTGGGCGTCTGCTCCACTGAACCCGCGTTCGGGGAACCGTCTGAAACATTCTCTTCTGTTCTGTTGGTTCTTTTGTTTTGAGAAGAGGCATCTAAGGACAAGAGGGCATTTTTAAAAAGAACACACACAAGCAATCTTTATTAGAAAAAACAATGGCTGGGAGCAGTTGGCTCAATAGTCAGGGGATGAAAAACCCACCACGTCCACCCACATTGGACCCGTCATTCCCAGTGGCCTTTAAGGTCACAAAATGAGGTTGTTTTCACATAACAAACGCTGTTTGCTACGCCCCAAAGCGCTCTCTCCAAAGCGTAGAGGGAGGCTGCTGATAAACATCCCGACGTTGTCACATACCTACCCCCGGCTAGACAGAAGGATCTGCTACGTTTTCGGTTAGTAAAATTATCAGATAATACAATCTCGGGCTTCCGACTTACAAATCATACACAGACAAGCGGTCAGGTAGCACTCACAACCTAGATTACGAAAGTTCACTCCCAAGAAGCTGTATCAGGATACGCTGGAAAGAAAGCTGATGGGTTAAGCCCTGCAAGCAGGCAAGGCGGTGCCCCAGACAAACAAACATTTTATGGTTTTCAGAGCGTCATTACCGTCTGTGGCAGGTCGCTTCCTTATCCCAGTGCACGGCTCCTCTAAGCCCGTCTGGCTGTCCGATGCATCAGTTTTTTGGTCTACCAAGTGTGTGTCCTCTGAATTTGCCTGAGATCCGATTAGAGGCCCCTCCTGGCGGTTCCCGCGGACATCCTGGCTCTCCTGCGCGGGCACCTTGCAGGCGCCTTTGGGTGGCCGCGGGGGTCTGTAGTAGAACTCGGGCAAGCTGCCCTTTTCCACCTCTTGCCATTCGTATTTGCCCTCTAGGGGCCTGTGATTCTGAAAATCAAAATTCCACTTGCGCTGGCTTGCCTCTTCCATGTCTCGGCAGTGCTTCTCCAAGTCCCGGGTTAACTCTTCGTGATTCACCGGGCCGAACAGGTTTCGGCAGGCGGAGGGCTTGGGGTACTCCGCCTGCCTGGCGTCCATCCGCTCCAAGCTCGGGCTCCCGTTAGACACTTGTACGTTTGACATCTTCCTCCCAGGTCTTTACGACCGCCTCTCGCGCGCTCTCAGAAAACAAAACCGAACAAAACAAAACGCCCCGACCCAGCCCGAACTCCACTTATAAAGCCTGCGACTGCCCTGGGAGCCAAGAGAAACAAACCCCAACAAGTTCCTGGCGCGTCAGGAGCGCGCTAGGTCTGGGGAGGGGGTGAGGGCCAAGCAGCCCCAAGTCTCCGCGGATCAAGTGTACCAGCGAGCGGGAGGGCGGGGAGGGGAGGGGAGAGGCGAGAGGCGGGGGTGGCAAAGGCGGTCCAAGTCCAGGCTGGTGCGAGCCCGCGCGTCCCGAGAGCCGAGCGGCTCTCCAAACCTTTCCGGCGTCAGAGTCCCGGAGGGGCGAAAAAGTGGGGAGAGGGGAAGGGAAGAAAAACACCCCGAAAAGACGAGCCCCCTTTTCTTAGTTGCCCAATATGGCGGTGGAAGGGAGGCTGACGAAGAAGAAAATGATTGACACTGCAAGTCTATTTAAACAGAGGTGGAGATCCATTGGTCGCGGCGCCGGGAGCCGCCCCGCCGAGGCTGGCGAGCGCGGCCTTAAGGTGGCCCCGGCGCGATCCCGCCGTCTCCCCGCCTCCCCGGGCGCGCCGACTCCGTGAGCGCCGCCGGGAGACTGGCTGGTCGCGTGATTGCTGTAGGTGCACTGCTGCCAACAAACCTGCTCCGGCTGGCCTCGGAGAAATTAAAAATAAGACAAACAAAATAGCCAAACGGCTGGAAAGGTGGGGAGGGGCCGGGGCGGCGGAGCCTTGGGTTCTGCTCCCGGAGCGGCGCTGACGGGCGCGTGGCCTTCCCGGAGCCTCACTCTCCCGCTCCTCCTGGGAAAACGGAGGGGCTGGACCAGATGACCTCGACGGTTGCTGCCAGCGCGTTGCGCGCCTCGGTGGCGGTCTCGTTTTCCCCGCACTGCGGGCAGCTGCGGAGCGGAGGCAGGCGTTGGGGGCTCTCAACCCCTAGCCCAACTTACAGCGCTGCGGGGGAGACAGGGAAATACAAGCTTGTGCGCCTGGGAGCCCCCCCTGCCTGAGTGCCTTAGCCGGGGTGTGCAGTGGTTAGCTCACCCTTAACCTAGAAGTCTGTTTTTCTAGGGGAGACAGTGGGTTTAGGGAATACGCCGAGGCGAACGTCTTTCTACAAATTAGTCTGGGGTAGGGGCAGCATTTATAATCATCTGAGTCCAAGCACTGCCTCAATAAAAATAAGATTTCAAGATGAAAAACTCGACTGGTCTCCCAAGTCCTTAATAAACTTTGTAGCTGTCTCAGACACATTTAGTTTTCAAAGGTGAGGTTACATCCCTGGCCCAGGTTCTTGCTGCCCAAGTACGGTTAAGGCAATGGACAGGAGCTGCGTGTGGGAACTCGTTTCCTCTTGGTATTTTTCAGTGCTTTCCCGGCTTGTAGCAGTATCCTCCACTGAAGTCCCACTGCTAACTACGACAGCTCCATCCTCCACCTTCCTCTCCAGATTCACCTCTCCCAACCACAACATTCAGGTGCGAGTGAATGCTTTTAGAGGGCAGTGGTTGACTGGTGAAAATAGTCTCAAAGTGCAGATTATGAAGTGATTTATAAAACCACCACAACTATGTCTTCATAACTGATTGTTCAGGCATTTCTCTGCTCCCCTTGGCGACCTGAAATTTACCTATGAATATCGTCCTCAGCACCGTGGTAGGAGTTAAAAAACAGTTTGGGTAAGGCTGTTACATTTCAAGTCTCCGGTGGGTCTTCAACTGCCTCACCCCACCCCACCCCCAGTATATATAATAATCTTGGCCTGGGCCAAGTTATTCCATTGTCCTGGAAACTAATCTCCTGCAATTCAATAGTCCACAGCAGCAATGCATCTTGCTACAGATGTTTGATTTTTCACTTCTCTTTACCACATACTGTTTGTCAACTCTGTGTGCCTGCTTCACCTGGTACACACTACAAGGTCCGAGTTAGGAGAGACCTCGGGCACCCTGTGGTTCATCTTTGTCTTGTTACCACGGAGGAAACAGACCTAGAGGATCCGTGTCCAGGGACACAGATCCAGCCTGCAGCAGAGCCGGGATTAGGCACAGGTCTCCTCTTTCAGGCTGGTTTCATTTTGTTTTTTTCCTACCTAAGGACCCCAGCTGCTTCGCGTTTTAGTCAGGATTCACCTGTGCTGTAACCTGCAGGTCCTTCTCTCCTACATGTGATTCAAAATGGCTCCTTCTCATGTCCTGGGCTGCCTGCAGATATTTCTGTGATGTGGCCTGGGTTCCCTGATACTTAAATGCAGCTGTCACTGGTCTTTGGGATCACTACCCACTAGTTCAAAACACAGGTTCCAAAAGAACAGGGGTGATGGCCAGGGTGCAGTGAGGGAGGCAGTGCCCAATCCTTGTTTGAAAGTCAGGGCTTCCTACCTGATGGAACATACTTCACCTGGAATCAGAGCAGGTGGTCTCATCTTTATTTTTCTACATTTAATGCCTCCCCTTAATTTATTAGATTGGAGAAGAGTGGGGAGGGACAGGACAGTTGGGGTAGGCCTAAGTAGCGTAATTTATACCCTACCCCTGAAATTAGATCATTGTGTCAAGATTTTAAAACAATTGCTAGACTACACATGAATTCTATGTTATACATAAGCATATAGTCACATGCATTAATACACAAACTTTTATGTAAATGGAATACTCCAGAGTATTACACCTAACCACAGAGTTTCATTTTCTTTGTGGACTGGATATACTATCTCGATATACTATCCAAAAATAGAACAGTAATACTTCTGTCCACTTTACACGCTGAATCTTTCTCCGGTTAATATGAAGGAGCACCATTTTGTTGTTTGGTTAATTTTGAAAAGAAATCGAGTCCCAGTTACGCCACCTTAGGGCATCTGGCTGCCAGCAGAAAAGCTGTCTGTGCTTACATCGACCTTGCTATGATCTAAAGTGTTTTATCTACAGACAAGGCACCGGAGAGCTCTACGGCAAATAAAGAGAAGGCAGACATCTGCTGTAGTAGCGGCGAAGCGTGAAAAAAGAAAAAAATGCTATGGGTCCTGGAGCGAAGAAGGAAGGAAGGTGGAGATCAGAGCGCCATCCTCCTGCGGAGAGTAGGTAACTGCAAGCGAGCAAGGTGGTGAGAAACATTTCAGATAAACAGCGCAAAGGCGGAGCCTGCGTAGAAGACAGAAAGTGCCCCTCTGCACTATTCTACGATGGATTCTGCTTCTCCCAGACCCGAGATCTAGTAGTGGATGATGTTTTTGTCATTTTTACTCCGGTAGGACCCTAGTAAGAGCTGAAATGTTACAAAAGCCACCCCAAATCTGTGTCCTTCACAAGCTGAGGAGAGAGGCAAGGACCAAAATAACTTAAAAGAAAAACACCTGTGTGGTAGACCGTGTCCAAAAGCGGTAGGGCCAGCGGTCTCCCAGCTGCAGCCCTCTCAGCCGGAGCTGTGGCGGTCCGGAAGCCTTGCCCAGGGGCCCCGCCCACCACAGGTACACAACTTTAATCCTTTCTCAAGGATGCTTATATGTGGGAGCTTTCACTCAGTTTCACTATTCTCCTAAGCCGACATATTTTTTTAGAATTTGGAAATTTCAGGCATCTGTTGCTGACCCTTTTCATTCAGTTTAACAAATATTTGTTGAACACCTCTATTTAATTATTCTTACTCTCTTTCAACAAATATTTACTGGTTGACTTCAATATGGCAGGCATTACCCTAGGCTCTGGGGACACAAGTAAACAAACCGAGTTAAACAAGGATGAAGCTTACATTCTAGTAGGCAGACAGAAACACACTAAATGAGGAAAGTACATGTTATGTAAGGAGGTGATGTGTGCTATGGAGAAACAATAAGCAGGGGAGAGGGAAAGAAAATGTTGCAAGGGTCCCAATGTGTATAAAGTGATTGGGGAAGGCCTCGTTGAGAAAGTGGCTTTGGAGAGAAGCCCTGAGGAGTTGAGAAAGCAAGCCATGCAGATATCTGGGGAAAGCGTGCCCCAATAAAGCCAACAGCAGATGCAAACGCTTTGAGGTGGGATCTTGTCTTTGAGGAAAAGCAAGGAGCAACAGAAGAGTGATCACATAAAACCATGTAGGCCTGTGCTGGGTGTCTGTCATTGACTGAGTGATATGGGAAGCCATGGAGCATTAGGAGATCTTACGCATTGGAATAATATGGTCTCACCATGTGTAAAGTATGCATTCCCCAAGGCTTTATTGCCAGCAGCTTGAGTGAAAGGATGACTAAGTCACAGTCCCTGTCTTTAGAGTGTATGTAGCCTAGATGAAGAGATCATTGTGCACACACAAACTGCAGAGGTAGAACACAATTCATGGAACATGGTACAACGATGGAGTACAAAGGAGGGGGAAAGAGGAAGACTTCATGAAGGAGGTCAGGTTTTTGAAGTTAGGTTTTGAGGAGTGAGAAAAATGTCAGGAAGATTATAAGGATGTATTGGTAGGGGTGGTCATTGTGGGATGGGCTCAGACAGAGGCAGGCCAAAGCTGGCATGCTCAAAAAAATCCTGTTTTATTCATAAGCAGTGGAAACTCGTGTTTCTTTGGTGGCAAGAATAACATGATTGCCGTCCAGATTTGTCTCCTGAACAAAGAGCAAGCTTGGGCCCTGAGGGACAGTCTCTTGGGACATAGCTAAATGAAAAACTAGTAAACAGCGCCATTATGGTGTTAATCGAAAGGGAGCTGAAAGTTGGGCAAAGTATTGGTGTTAGGCAAGAAGGTAGAAGCACTGGCCAAGAGACCACGAGATGGTTTGGAACAAAAAGTAGGAGGCAGTCCGGAGTGTCCCCTGAGCTACAAAGACATAGCTGCAGATGCTTTACATGTGGTGTTTGCAGTCTTGGCGGTGAGTGCAGAGAGGTGTGAAGGTGCTCCAGCTGCCTTGGACAGATCTTTGTGTTCAGAAGTGGCACCTGACACCATATGTGATCCCCATAGGACCACATTTGTGAGACAAATGCTATTATCCTCTCAGGCATAGGAAGCCCTGGGAGAGAGAAGGCCGAGTGTTCCAAAGCCACGAAAGAGAGTAGAAGTGACACTAGGATGCGCATGCCTGCTCTTCTGAAGCTGAGTCCCTAGTGCTGATCCTGGAGGATGCAATGACTTTGTGGGTTTGCAAGTGATTTGGAGGCTTCAATGGCAAAATTCACCTACTATTCATAAAGGGGATGTTCAGGGGAAAGTGAGATTCAAAATCATGGAAGAAAAACATCATCTTTGGAGGAAACTGGATTCAACAACAGTTTAAAATGGATCTTTCTACTGGAGTCAGACCTTTAAAAAATGCATTCGGCATTTTCACTTGGAGATAAGTCTTCATTTTCTAGTAAAATGTAGTGAGCAAATGCAGGTTTACCCGTATTGCTGGTTTCATAGGAAATACATAATAGGAAGTAAATAGCAAAACCTGGATTCATGACCATACACATG